TATTCTCCTTTACAGAATGTGGGCTCCTTTTGCTCTGATGCAGAAAGTAAACTGATGAATTTGCTACAAAGAAATCTCTTGCTTACACCCAGTTTAACTAAAAGATCTGACTTGGAAAGCCCTTCTCCTTCCCGCAGCTTTGCAGAGGATAAAAGTTCGGTAAGCTTCTGGTAATTAATACCGTGTTTGTACTGGCAGCGCATGCAGTAAGGATAGAAGTAAGTTCTATACTGATGGCTGTGGTGAATGGTCTCACTTCTCAGTCCACTCCATCCATTCTCTTCAGGGCAATGCAAACTGATTAGACACTTTTTCTGTGTGGGTTTACTATTACTCCTCAGAAGGAACTGAAAGGCTATTCTTCCTCCCAGCAGTACATGAAAACCTCCCCTTATGGCCTGTGTTTCCACAGCATACTTTAAATATTCTAAATTTTATGTGAGGAAATGAATCATCATTTCTCTATAGATAATTTGTCGCTTCCTTGGTCACACTGTCAGGATTACCTGATGTGAATGTCACTGGAAGGAAAATTCTCGATCAGCAAATTATTCTTTTATGGCATTCTGCAGTTCTTACTTCTGCTGAGAGAATTTACCTCCTGGTCTTTTAACTAGATATTGTTTACTATTTCCAGGATTTAAAAGGGAAGAGGTATCACCTAGTAAATGTTTACATTTTATAGCAGTCTTGACAAAAATTGTTTCAAATAGTACTCAAGTTTCCCATGAAAACTGCTGGTGGCAAGTCATTTCTGATGTGGAGTACTGAGCGGTCAGAACAAAAACTTACCCTGCCACAAGTTGCGATGGACTGATGTGATTTCAGTTCCTGGGGACTAAATTTAGGCTTATAAAGCATCCTTCCATTTCAGGAGGAGTTTATTTGTTTACCAAATATATTAACCAATTTAAAATAAATGAGACATGAAAAGTATTCTCAAGTTAAGTGTGTGTTTGAATGATTTGGTATGCAGCATCTGTCTTGTGTGTACTGTTATCTTCAGGGTTTTTTATATCAGGATTTTTTTTCTCATTTTGTGGAAATAATTGAGGAACCTAATGAAATGGAACATTCTATTCAACATCAAACTTCTCTCTTTTTAACTAGATCTCTTCTAGAATCGAAATGAAACATCCGAGCCCTTTGTCAACTAGCACACCATATATGAAACTTGTCACACCAGGGTCAGCAAAAACACCTTCACCTGCAGCAGTTAGTGAAGACCATCTCAAAAACGCCAAAAAGAGAAAAGCTATGGACTTCCTCAGTTGCATACCTGCCCCTCCACCACTGACACCAATACGTTCAGTAGTTTCTCCATCTGTTAAAAAAGCATTCCAGCCCCCAAGAAGTTTGGGTTTACAGCGTGGCAAGTCATCAAAAGAGTCAGATCAGAATATTGGTCATGTCACACCCTGTAGAAAACTGAGAGAAACTGTCCATCTTCCTGAGAATGACCTGGTTGCTGATGAAGAACTGGCAATGATTAACACACAAGCACTCATGAATAATTTACCAGAAGAAAAGAAGATGAATTATGTAAATGAAAACAGCAATACAATAGCTACTAATTTATCTGGTGATCTTTCATCCAGAAATAGTTCCAGGTCTACTGAGAAAGCAAATAACTCATCAAAAAGCAGTTCTGAAGTAGCTGAGACTCTTCAGAAGGACCCAAAGGAACCTCAGGATTCATTAGCAGCCCACAGAGTGCTACAAAGACAAAAGTCCCGAAAATGCTACTAAACACACATGTACAGTATTGTATATATTTCAAATTCAAATTATTTTTTCACTTTGTACATTAAATCTTGATTGTATTTAATAAAGCTGTATTTCAAAAAGAGACTCATGAAATAACATTTCATCTGCAAAATAGTCTGAAGGTCAGGAATTATACACTTCTCACAAACATGTATTGTGCAAGAGCATCAGTATGGTTTAGGGTTTTATGACATTTTGTAAGCCATTGCTTGGATTCTGATGTATTCTTAAATTAAAGCAGGATCTTTGTTGCAGTCTAAAGCAATCACTTTTGTTACCCTTTGCAGCATTAGAGTAGTTCTTTGGCTATCAGAAGAACAGGACAAAATAGTTCTCTTATTTTTACTGTACAAAACACTTTAATTCTGAAATGTTGCTCTGTGTAATTAGGGTCTGTTCTTTTACTTTTCTCCTCAGACTTTCCATATAGCACTAAAAAAGGTTTAGAGAACAGCTATGATTATTTGATTCACAGCAAAATGCCAAACAAAGGTATTAGTGATAAATCTTTGGTCAGTGTTTCTGAGCTACTCCTTAAAGAAGCACTTGAGGCCACAACATCATGAAAGGTAATCAGATCTTTCTTTGTTTTTATCACAAGATCTTTCTGCTGGGGATGAGATAGTGCTTGAGTTCATTACTTTGTTCTCGTTAATTTCAACAGGGAAATAATCTGCTGGACCTGCTGCCACCTCCACATTTCAAATGGCTGCTTGTCAGGTTGCCCTTTGCCCCGCTGCTTCCCACCAGGCACGGTACAAACAAGGGAGAATGTTTCAGAACTGACACCACCAGCTCCCACTCAGCAACCCTTCATGGGCTCCTGCGCTCTTCACTTGGCTCAAGTGCAGGACTGGAGAACTGTAATGGGGCTGACATGAGCTCACTGGTAGTTCTGTAAACTTCCATGAAATACTGAGGAACCAGATTTCCCTGCATTCCCAGTTCAGAATTGTTCGTAATGATGATGCTTAAAGCTTTAATGCATTTTGAGTAGAAAATGCAACTTATCTTGTACATTTATTGTGTCCTGAAGACAGCTTGACTTTTGCATAGAGACAGCGTGATTCTTTATACCTCTGCTAAATTGCTGGATGAATCACAGTTTCCTAATTTCCACTGGGAGCTGTCTTCATTTCCTACTGCAAATACCTCACCACTGTCTGTTTTGTAGGCACTGCCTAATAATCCACACCTAATTAAAATATTTGACATCACAAGTGGAGTTTTAAAAATGTTTCACAAGGCTTCTTGATGAGGACATAATCATCGGAATGTAACGGTATCCACAGCAGGATAGTTCCTTCCCCACTCATCCATCAGTCAGTGGCTGAAGAGGTTTTCTCCCCTTAGCAAAACAGGTTTTGTCCTCCTTTCTTAAGTCATTATGAGTTAGTTTGTGTATTTGATAGCCTTAGGCTTCAGCTGTAGAGACCTACTCCGCTAGCCTGATTCCTACTTAAGAGTTAACAAGCACAAGCCTAACACTAATGTTTCATTTTAGGAGCCTCTCCGTCTCAGGATCAATTGAACTTCTTTGTCTGGGCAAGATGCAGGGCTCAGGCTGGTGTGTTGGTGTTTTGCTTCCAGGCTGGAGAAGCTCCTTGGCTGTGAGGTAAGACCAGCATGAACCCAGTCAGAGGAGACGGGGAACAGCATCAAATGTTAGAGCTGCCTTTGCCACCATTCACCTTGACTCTCTTAAAAGTAACAAAAATGCTCTGGGCAAGATAGTAGTAGATACAAAAAGTTTATACAGCCAGATATAAAGTATTAAAAGGGCAAGAAATGCCAATTGCATGGAGATGGAACTAAGGAATTGGCCACATGGCCTTTAAGAGAAAAATAATTTAGGAATGTTAGTGACAGAATGTGATGCAGAAAAATATAATCCAAAATGCCTGTGGCAGAGCCAGTAAATCTCACCATATGCTTGGATGGGTATTCCTGCTGGAAGAGGGACAAAAGGGAGTACAGTTTGTATTGGGGACAGCGCTCTTAGATTGGTCATGTAGAGCTGTGAGAGCACAGACCAATGCCATTTAAAGATTTGTAAGAAATAAAAGTAATTTAGAAATGTAGTAGAAAAATACAGTTTAGGAAAAAATTTAAAACTAGAGACTTCTATACCCTGATAATTAAAACACACCAAGGAATCGCCTCTTCAGTTAAATGTCATGTTGTTTGTACGTGTCATGTGACGTCTTCTTGAAAAGTCTGAAAGGGGATTGGAATGGGTATCCATGCCATAAGCTGCATTTGGTCCGCTGTAGCTTCCCTCATCTCTGCTTGGTTTTTCAGACTGAAGAACGCTGTGGAAGGTAACATTGTGCTCGTATTGTTCTTTCATCCGTTGTATCTTTTCCCGAGGGACATGATGAATATTTCTTCTGTAGAGTCAAAATTAACAGAAAATACAAGTATTTAGCCACCCATGTATTAGAAGTTATCTTCAGCTTGCTAAGATTCCTGATAGGTTGTCCTAGATAGGACAATGGTTCATGTCTCCACTGATTTATTTTTAGCTCATTTTTGACAAACTGTTGTTTGCTTTCACCGACTTCTTAAGAATATTGTGACTGCTGAAAAATGTCACACCAGCATTTTTTTGGGCAGCCAGGACATAAGAAGTTGACAAATATTTTTAAATGAAAGTTATGTAGAAGACCTGTGTAGTATTTTATAGAGTATTGCTGGGGTTTAGCACTAACAGCTTGTTAGCCTCAGGGTGAGCTTTTTTACATCTGGAGAAATGCAGACTGTTGGCTGTAGCCAACCCAGACACTAATTTATCAGCAAGTACAGAGGTCAAAAAATGTTGCTTTGAGCATAAGTAGTAAAAAAATCATACATGATGTGGCTCAGGCTCCAGGGCCTCAATGAATGATTAAGTTCTGCCTCTGCAGCGATGATGCCCTACAAGTGGCTGGTGCTGGTGAAGCAAGAGCTGACACAGTTGAGAGTTAAGGCTTTTGGTGTCCTCAGCCCCGAGCCATCATCTGCCATGTCCTGCCTCACCCCAGAGCCACGAGTGCTCTGGGCCATGGCCCTCTGCCATTTGTCTCCATCAGACACAGAAAGGTGCAGTGCTAAATTTTGACTGGAGTTCCTAGCTGGTACAAAACAAATACATCCATTGCAATGAAGTACCCATGCCCTGTTTTCTTGCAATAACAAGTAAGTTAGCATGTGCTTAGCTTCTGGGTTTGACAGACAGGAGTTCACTGCAATGTACATCGGATTGGATAAAGGCTAGGAAATTACCCTGCGTGAATTTTTTTCATTGATACAACCATTAACCCTGCAGTCACTAATCAAACTAACATAGGATTTAGAGGCAGCCAAATGTGGCTCTACCACATTACGCAGAATTGATAAATTCATTGTATCCCACGTGTGTGAGAGATCTTTACAAAGATCCTCTAGAACCTGGTTTCTTAGCCACACTCAGTGTATCATCCCTACATGCTACAGAGAGACAATATTTGTTATGGTTTGATTTTAAGGATAGAAGCCTGAAAATTGTCTGTAGTGCTTAGAAATGGTTTTGTGCCCAAACATAAAGACTGCTGCTCAAAATACAGAATGAAAATTGGGGTTTCTGCTCCAAGAAGCCTGCAGCATAAAAAGGCCTTGTCGCTCTCACTACTGCCTGTCTCACTTTAGCACAGTCAGGCCTTTTGAGAGCTGAATTCACTACAGACCAGGTACTTGGTACCAAAAGGTTTCCACAACAATTGTTCTGTTGTCATTTACTAGGCTACATGTTAGGGTATACGAAGAGGAAGAAGACTGTCCTTTCTCAGGACACCTCAACAAAATGAGAAGCTGTCTGCAATATCAAAGAGAAAAATATGTACCTTGTCAGTTCTCGAACATTGAACTTCCAGGGTGTATCTGGTTCTTGGAATGTAACTTCATATCTATTTTCACGTGCCTGAGGGACACAGAAGTTTTAGACGTGTGGCTACTGAGCTCAGGAATAGCCAATATTCCAGACCTCCTGAGATTTTACCAGGCTAAGAGATGTTATCTATGCTATGTACCAGGAGCCAGAAAGAGGATGATAATAACTGTGACTGCCCTCACGGTGCCAGTCTGATTCCCAGTTAGTTCATTTCCTTCTACGTCAAGGGATTTGGGTCTCCCAGCAAAACTTGCTTCAGCATTTCCCCTGGTCCCCATCCCCCATGGCAACAGCGTCTTGGCACTTCACCTCTCTGAAGTCACTGATGGTCCAAGAGCTACTGGCTGACCATGCCAGTCTCGAGTTTCTGGGAGTGTGAGGTCAACATATATCAGTCATGTTATTCCCAGCCAATGAGCCTACAGCACTCCGTTTTTTTTCAAGGTAAAGGAACATAATTTGTGTGTATGTGTGTATATATGTACATACACACACACCCAAAAACATACATATGCATATATATATATATATGTATTAAATACAGTTATTGATTACTTCGAGTTGGGGAAGGAGGCAGGGAAATTTACTGACCTTTTTACAGCTTGCCCACCTCTGTGCCCTCTACTTGCTTCTTATTCACCCACAAGCATTTACATCTCCTGCTAGAGTTGTGAGGCTTTTCAGCACCCACTATTAATTCCTCCCTCTTTTGTGCTAAGCAATACTTTTAGACCCAAAATTCTTAACTGACAAGACCATAACCCACAAAGAGAAGCACAAGTTTAATGTTAGCAGACAGGGCACACTTGGCAACTCTACTAAAAATATTGCCATTTCTGCCAGAACTACTGACAAGAGATATCAATGCATCTTCAAAGACTCTGTATGGTGTATTTTTCACAACTTATGAACTAAAATTGTTAGTCGTATCTTGATACATTTGTCAACAAACAATTGACAGAACTGTTCGATTCCTGTCACTACTGGGAAAGGGGATGACATCCTGATGACCAAGAAGTAACAGGGGAGGTTCAGAGGCTGTTAATCTTTTCAAGCCGTTTTGCCTTCACTGAGTTATAGAGCTGACTGGCTAAAACAACTACACTGGCACCTCTGCCCCTACTTTGTCACAATATCCACTACAATTAGAGAACAATGGGAAAAGTGAAGTAATTACTTTTAGCCATGTTAAGAACCGTTTCAGTCAGATCACCTTGTAAATGTCGTAGCTGAGCATATAAAAGCAATAAATCAGAGAATTCCCTACCATTAGCACATACGGCTTCATTTCCCAAGCGTGGATGTTGGTATTGTCAATAATAACCGGGCTTTTCCCATTCTTCATTGCTTTGCGTGCTGCAATGTAACAACACATTACATAAAGCTCAAGTGTATCAAATAACAGATTAATCCAGGCCTTACTAGCCCCAAAGTGTCCTTTCTTGCCCACTGCTCAGATGCTTGTTTCCCTACCAGACTTGGGTTTGCAGCCATCACCCAAACGGGAGCCAAGGTCTGTGCCTCCCAGAGGAGGTGGTGCAGCTGCTGTGCAGCACCATCTGAAGCTCTCGTAGAACATACTCGCAACAGCTAAAAATTACCGTCGTTTTCGGGAGATCTCAAAGTATGTTTGTCATTGCCAAAAATTCCTTCACAACACAGCCACAAAAGCATGTTATGTTGTTCTCTCTGAAGCAGAGACCTGGGTTGTTTAATTCTCAAACTCGTAACTCAGTTTGCAAGTTTTCCTCCTGTCTTTTCACTACCTCCCCACCCCATAACACCCCCTTCCAGGTCAGGACAGACATCTAAGAAGTTAAAGTCATAAGGCTGAGGTGCCTACAGGTGCAGGGAGCAGCTGCTGAGCTGGTATCTGTATGGCACCTGTTGTTAACAAGCTTTAGCAGTGCTTCCTAACAGACACTGCTTTTACTTTCTAAAATAACATCTATCAACCTCAGCATTTTTTCATTTACAAATTTCTCTCTAATAAGTCAGAAGAAATAAAATCAGAAGTGGCAAATGTATTTTTTCAACCAATACCCCATGGACTGCAGTGTATGACATCCCTTTGAGATATTTTATTTTGGGGGCTAATTTTAAAGACAGACTGAGAGGCAAAACTATTCTGCACAACCCCTGGATGAAGTTCAGCCACCTCTTTTTTGGTTCCACTTGTGTGCATCCTCTAGGAAGTCAGGCTCAAACACGTATACACCATTTTCAACGAAGAAGTCATCAGTACTAAGAACTACAGCACTGGGATAGTCACGTTTCAGTTGTCTGCAGAGAAAAAAAAAAAAAAGGTGAGAGAAGGATTAGTATATGGTAGCACATGCCTTTAACAGAGACGATTAAATCAAGAGCCATTTGAATGCTCTGCAAATACGCACAGTGCTTCATTTGAAAAATCCCAGCATGAAGGATCTGAAAATACTGAAATCAGTAGATGGACACACAGGAGGAAATAAATGGAGCTTGAAGGCATGGCCTTGATTTCTTTAGTTCAGCAATCTACACTGGACTACCAAGTCTTTTATCATGTTAATATATTCAGTCTTCCTTCTGAGTTATCTGAGAATTTTCTGACTTGTCTGAGAACAAGGATTGTAAAGACAAAAAAAAAAAAAAAAAATAAAAACACCACCCAACAATCCAAACCTGCTTATCCCCTGGAAGTTGTTGTCAAAAGGCAATTTGACTATGGGAATTTTTCTACAAAGATTTCGGAAGATAAGGAGGAAGGATTTGTCATTCAGTTAAGATGGCCAAGAGTACCATCAGTTAGGGGGATTGGTTTGTTTTTTAGCTAGAAAGCAGATAGCACTTATTTATTTATTTATTTATTTATTATTTGCAAACAAGTATCTGAGTGATAAGTCAATATTTTGTGTTATTTGTTGCAATTTTATGATTTTTGTACTTGTCCTTATCTCACTTACTCCTGCTCTTGTAGAATTGAGTCATTTTTATATCTTTTCAGCATTTAAATGTCTTTTTATAAACAAATCTGAATTGCCAGATTGGCAAATGCTACAGATCCATAAAACAGACCACTGTGGTCAGTGGCACAGGGCAAACCCCCTTCCCTTCACACCCACAGCGATGCTCCTGCAGACCTGGCATGCTGTAAACTGACCATCTGCCTCCAAGGCAGTGACTGGCTGTAGGAGGTGGAAGTGCTGGCTTGTGGAGGTGGTTTAAGTATGAAGCATTCCTCTGCCAGTCCTTAGAGAGCATAAAAAAAAAAATCTTAATATGAAATTGTATTCCTGTTTTTCTATACTCCAGATTTATTTGTGTCCATAGACAGAACTGGCTATTTTTTTTCAATCACAGAAGTGCTGGGAGAGGAGGGAGTCTCCGCAAGAAGTCAGGTAGAGCCCATGGCATCTTCTCTCTAATCCATGTGTCCCTAAGGCCCAAACTGTCTCAGGAAAAGAAAGGTCAACCAAGAAACCTTGCGGCTCTCAGACTTGAATGCTGCTGTCCTGCTATCTCACACCTCACATGGTCTCCTGTCCCTGTGACTCATTTCAGCTTCCCTAATAAAATGCTTCTCTTCCATCCCCATAAGCTGCAAAATAACTATTTCTCAATGTCTTATCTACATGGGCAACAGCAAGGGAAAAGGTGCCTTTAGGTTATCAGCAAAAAACCAGACACACAGACAGAAAAGGCTTAATTCTGTCATCTAGCTCTGTCCTAACCATTTACTTACCAGTTTAACCCTAATCTGCCTGGAAGCAGCAATTCTTCACTAGGCTTGCAGGTTGCATTTAGCTAAATAAAGGTCAGCTTCTGACTTTGCTCAGTAAACTCACTGTAACTCCTACCTGCTGATTAATTGATATTATTTTGTGGTAACAACCCCCCAGAGAACAGAGGTTCACAGCTGACTGACAGCCAGGACTGGGCTGTGCCCACTGTTAAGTGTCATTTAGCACCTACATGTTGTTATCTTCCAGCTCCAAAGACATGCTTTAATCGTGTAATTCCTGTTGGACAAACAGATTTAAGAAAACTCATGCTTCAAACTGTTAGCAAACAGTCAAATTATTTTTGCTTTAATTTTGGTCCAAGGCAAAGAATTCTTACCATGAAAAGCATGGCAGCACCTAATGCTTATCTGGTTACTCCTGCACTAAGAAACTCATATATTCATCTCTCACTACAATTCAGCACCTCACCTTTCCCACTGCTTTACCCATTGCAATTTCTTCTCTAAAAAAATACCTGCTAAAATGCCTGTCTCTTTAGCTACTAATAGGCACATAAAATTGTACACGTTAATAAAAGATCTCAAGACTATTTTTTTTCTTGCTCAGTATTTCTTTTAAACATGTTCTCAACCAGTGCAAATTTTAAAATCATTTTCTTAGCACATACTTTACTGAATTTTCAACACATATATGCACACTCACGAGAGTTCTGATATTAACCCTGAAGCAATCTAAACTGTACGTGATTATCTGTAACCTCAGTCTAACTATCCTGATACTGATAATAAAGTAAATAAAACTTGTGTGTCAGAGGAGGAAAAATATGGCACAAAATGTGCTAAGAGCCATAAATTACTTTCCCATTTGCTATATTCATTCCAAACAAGCTCCTACTAACAGCAACATAAGAGAACATTAAGTGGGAAAAAGGTGTTTTACCTTCTACTTATTTTGCTGGTTTTAACTTTTAGCTTTCTAAAACAACCGAACTGTCACTGAAGTTTACCAACATTTCTGTAATCCCCTCCCTATTGTCCATGAAGTTGACATAAATCCTGTTTCTTCTGTCCCTTATCACTTCAAAAGGCACCCAAACCTCTTTGGTGTTGTTTCTTAAGAAATAAGCCTTGTACCATCTTCACAGGACTGCAAGGTGGTTTGGAAGAAAGGTTCTGCATAATCACAGCATGCAATTAAAATGCCTGTATTTTAGAAAAAATATACACTAGCTATGCAAAATGGGAGGGCCTGTAACCACTGTTATTATTGCATAAATCTTGAACGGCCCCATGTAAAAATAAAATTACCCATTGCAGCTGGATCAGTAAGCATAAAGCACACTAAAGAGGAAAAGAAGAATGGAATCTCTTTGCAAGATCAAAGGATACCTAGGAGCTATATTAGCATTTTATAAAGAAACCATTGAACCTGAAGCACTGTGTTGTGACAGGCAGCATCTGTCAAAGGTTCAGTATTAATTTGGGACATGTAACTGCACGGTGATTGCACAATCTCCCCATCTTGCAGTGGATACAAAATGTGGTACACTCTATACCTTGCTAAAGAAAAGTCTGCTGCTGTTTCAGAAAATACAAAGGATAAGAAAGTAAGAAGAGTGTGGGGGATGTTTCCTCTGCCTGCAGTAAATCTCCTCAACACCCTTCTACCCCTTCTGCATGGCAAAGCAGTACTGTGTCTCATTAGACTGGATGATATAGTTGAGGGGAAAAAAAGACTTTCAGATGCTTCAGTTCTTCAGCTCCGACACAACAGTGGTAAACCTCATGATCTACAGCAGGGCCTGGGAACACATAAAGACCTTGGAAACACGAAGCTGCAGAGGCAGAAGCTTCACTGCCTGCCCACACCAACCCCTCTGGCAGCCCAGGTAGCAGCAATGCTTCTAAACAACACAGCACCTTGGCTGGTGTCAGTGGACACTCATCTGCTGTCTCTCCCTGGCCACATTTATGATGGCTGTTGAGAGCAAAAAAAGAGACTCTGTTGAAAATACACCTTTGTTTCTATTTGACCACAGTAGCATTTTAACAGCTGCCTCAGTGAGCAGACAGGCGGGTTTAAGGTGTCTCCTGCATTATTAATCTGAAGATCCGTTCCCAGGATTTATACAATTTTTGAAGTCACTTTTTTTCCTAAAGAGCATTTTTAGGGCTTTCAAACAATTATTTCTGATTTTAGCTATAACAATTTTATAATAATTATTTTATAAATAATTTTGTAATAATGTAAAAATAATCACTGGAGATAAAAAAATCCATAACTGTATTCCATAGCCTCTCATGCTTTTTCATCAGAGAATTTGAAAATAAAATAATTTCTGATGAGCCTGCTAAGCAGATTGGAAGGAACATTAACAGAAGGCAGCAGAATGCTATGTCAGGCAGATCTGAGAGTCAGTAAATTCTCAGACACCTTCCAATGTCCTGGAGACCAGAACATAGATGTACTGACACCACATGCAACCACTTGCTCTGGTCACTCTTCCCAACATAAAGTGTTCTGTGGCAGGCATTTAAAAGGTGTTTAAAAGCCTTTCGTTTCAGCAGAAAAGCAGAACTGTGAGATCTGGAGCACATGCTCAGCATTATCACCTATCTACAGTGTTTGAACAATTTCTAGTGCCCGGAGGACTTTGCCCAGATGGTGCCAGCCAGGTGCTGCTGGCAGAGCACAGACACACCTTTGTGCCTCACCCATGGGGGCTTGAGCCATTGTTCCATTTTGTAAAGAAATAAACAGGCTGATATTACGTTTGATCAACACATTCAGGAGACTCACCTGAAGTGGTTTTATACAAGGGGAAATGTTTACAATACAATGCTGACTGGAAGAAGGAGCTGCAGAGCTGAAGTCCATAAACCTGTCAGAGCTGCAGCTCTGCAACGGGGTCAGGTGCTGGTCAGGGTTCAGGTGCTGGTTACAGCGACATGTCGGGCCAGGACTGGAGGTGCTGGGATGAACCAGGCAATGGCAGCAGGGAGAACTGGACAAGACATGGATTACACCAAGCAGTGATGCCTCAGTGCCAATACGTTTTTTCTCTTCTGTTCTGGAAGATTGCTCCCTTTGTGGTTCATAAAGGAGTACAAGAACAACCTCATTTCAAGCTATAAATGAACAGCAGTGGCTGAAAAGTTACATGTTTGATCATGCCCAGCCTAATGCTTGAGTTAAACTGCTAGATAAAGGCTTACATGTAAGTTGAGCTGTGCAACACAGCAATGTATTGCAGGAGAGCTAGAAGTGCACCTACCGTGCAATAAAGAACTTGCTGGGGAAGCAGGCATGAGCTTGTATGCAGCTCATTTTACTTTTTGGAGGCATTTTTGGAAGCTGTACCTGCTACCAAATCTCAGTTAACTGTCTTCTCAGTAGTTGCCTCAGTTTGATCATAAAACCTGTATGTGAAATTGAGAACAATGTGTTCAGGAGGAGCGTGTCACACGTGCCTGACGGAGACTGCTGGAGATGTGAAATGATAAACCAGACCTGAACCAATCCATGCCAATGTCGGGCTGCTCTGAGCTGGGAGAACAACTGGAGTTGAGAAACCATTTTAATGAAGATGCTGTACCTAAATCTTACAAAGCTATGTCCAAACTGACCTGCGTGACACTGAAAAGTCAGGGAAACAAGTCATGGATCTGAGTTTGTTCCTTAAGATTTTGTGATGAACTGAAAAGGGGCCTTTCTCCTGGAGCTATGACTGGGCTGTGATACCACCAGTGCACAGTTTGTGACTTCTGAGCACTGTAAAGATGTACAGGCTCTAACTGAAATGCTGGCTGATATGAAGAATGAATGAATGAATTAATGAATTAATGAATGGACGTGTGTATTGAAAGCATCATAAGAAACAACAGAGCAAAGGCTACAACAATGGTACACACTGACAGCCAAGAACATCATTAACAGCAGTAAACGTGGGAAAGATGCTGCTTACACCCCCAAAGGCCAGAACTAAGCTGAGGCCCAGCACAGGGACACATTCAAGAAGACCCATGCTCTGAGAGCAGGAGGGTGGCCAGCAGGTCACATCAGCCCATACACACTTGCCTCCTTCCTCTCATTCCAGCAGCAGTGGGGAGTCTGAAAACACACCCAAAATGGGAAAACTAATGGGGAAAAAAACCCCCAACACCTAAGATTCATGAAGCACCAAGTTAAGCTGAATTTGGAGGCAAAAAGACGGCAGCCATAGAAGCTGCTGGCTGCGAGATGGCACACCAGACCTGATCAAAACTCACCCCATCACTGCAAACCGAGAGCAATCCAGTAGAGGAAGCAAGGACGGGACAGCTGAAGGCCCTTGACCGCTCTGATTTTGGGCAGATCACCTGTGCACATGCATCTTGGTGCCTGCAGGATACTGGGATACTGTGAGTAAAATCTGAGAAAATAAATTTGAAGCCATAAAACGAGTTTCTGGAGGGCTTTTGCAAGTAAACGACCACCTTCCTCCTCCAGTAGGTTCTTACATTGCCTTGCTAGGCACATTGCATTTACCAACACCACAAGCTACACAGGTGTGAGAATAACAAAAGAAGTTTTTTGGCCCAGTCCTTCCATATCTGGACAGAGTTAATGGAGAGGTATTAAATGTTGCTCTAACAGATGCCTTTTGACCCGTGTACTTCTGAACAGTTAAATGTAATGATATGATTAACAGGGGCTGGAAACAGAGTAAGATACTCAAACATTCATCTCCCAGGGAACTAAAACAACTCTTACACCTGATTTTGTAATTCTGTCATTAATAATTAACCTTGTGTTTTGACCTAAAAAGTAGGTCAGTTACCTGTGCTGCCTGAGAATATGGCCCCAAACCATTACGTTCTTACTGTGCTATGAGAAGACCCAACAACCCCTCTGAAGGAGCAGGCCTGCACTTACACAGCCTCTTACAGGAAAGACGTGTATTTTGGGTGTGAGTAAAACACGGATTTGACCGCTTATAAAAGAACTTTGCTTGCCAAAGTGCAGTGAGGCAGAAGGCCCAGTGTGACAGGGAAGTACTGTACTGAGAAAACAAAACTGTAGACGAACCCAGTGTATCGCTCAGCTTCATGCTGCCACCTCTCACAGCAGAGCCCTTCCTGTGGCAGCCCACGATCCCAGCACGGGTTCCTCACCCCAGCAGAGTAAGAAGACAGTGAATGTTCCTCTTTTGATAGAGAGTGGGTGGCGCTGCGAGCAGTGTGATACCAGACTGTGAGATTTTGTGATACAGGATTACAGCTACACTGTGTCACGCCCACTCCAGTGCTGTCTCCCAGCACTCCACACTGGGTTCTCCCACCTCTTTTTAACCAGTCTGTGGTCTGTCACAGAGGGGACTGGTCTCCTCTGCCCATTTTTTACTCAGCCCTACAGCTCTGACCAGCAGTGCAGGACATCACAAAAACAGAAGTCAAGAGTGGTTGTCAATTTTCAGTCAGAGAGGGGAAGTGCTTTACTATGTTTGTGATTAACCGGGAAAAAAAGCCCAAACCAAAACAAAAAAAAAACACAACAACAAAGACATCAAAGAAAAACGCCCCACCACCAATCTGACGCTTTTTAGAAAATAAACAACAACAACCACCTTGGTCGGAGTGTTCAGTCCAGCTTCCTAGAAGCTTCCCTGCAGTACGCTCGCTGGGAACAGCAGCACCCACGGTCCCACGGGCAAGACACCCAGACCGGCCACAGATACCAGGAGCAGCGCAGCCTGGAGCGGGCGTGGAACCGGGATGCGAAGGGTTTCCGCGCGGCTGCCATCAGTCGAGGCTCATGCTTTCCCCCGAGCACCCAAGCCAGCCCTGCCTCGCTGCCTCCGCGGGGTCTGCAGCCAGCGTGCCCCGCTCCCAGCCGCGGTGCGGGGTCCGGGCGGGCACACGGCTCCTGAACACCGCCCGGCTCGGCCCCCGCGGCCGCTCCGCTCCTGCCCCCGCACCCCATACCCTGCGGCGGGGCCGGAGCCAGGGCGGGGGACACTCTTACCTGGCCAGGGTGCTCTTCCCAGCGCCCGGCAGCCCCCGCAGCAGCACCAGCTTCCCGCTGCCACGGCCCCGCTGCGGCCCCAGGCTGAGTCCCCCCAGGGCGCGGAGCAGCCGCTCGTCCATTGCCGCGGCCCCGGGGCCGGGACCGGCGGGGAGCGGGGCCGGGGCCGGACCGGGATGGGGGGCCCGTGGCAGGCGTTCCCCAGCCCGGCCACGGCCCCCGCGCCGACCCCGGGGCCGTGTCCCACGTCCCCCGCGGGCGGGCGGGAACCCGCGTCCCTCCATGGCCCGGGCGGCCGAACCTCTGCCCCGCGAAAACGAAAGCTGCCTTAAGGAGAGAGAGACAGGCAAGGACGGGCATCTGCGGCTCGGGCCGCCGAGCTCTCAGCTGCGGCACTCGCTTTCGACCCGGAACTTTAGCCCAAAGATACCAGCTTTGATTAATTAAAATCAGGATTAATCTCCATATTCTCAAAGGCAGGAGAACAGAAGCCTGCGCTGAAAGTGTTCAATCCCATGCCCGCTGCCTGTACGAACTGCGAACTCCAGGGCAGGCCTGAGAGGAAATCATCAAAGGATATAGGTGAACAACCACGCTGCACCACACAGACGACCCTGTGCATCACACTCAGTACATCAACCTAATTTTTCTTTTTTTTTTTTTTCCAAACATATTGTCACATGAGAAAGTAAAGGAAGTTTAACAAGATTTATTTCCTCTAAAGAAGACCTGATCTGCATTAACTTGATCACTACAGAAGCAAAAGAAATTATAATTTCTAATAAACCCCAAAACAGTTGGTGTGGTACCACACTCTCCCTCTCAGAACAACACACAGCGTCAACCCCAGCTTGGTTAGAAGCCAGCCTCAGGTATGCCACAGGGACACACCGCCACCAACCCTCAAGGCTGAAGCCTTAGGTTCTGACGTTTGCCAATAGTGCTAAGGAGAGGGTTCATGTATGGGGAGAAAGCTTAGCTCCTGGGCACATGGCGCACCAATGCTAACTGAAGCTGAAGCAAGTGGGAAAAAAAGTGGCAGGAAAAAAAGATTCATAAAATTTGAAATTCATAGATACTGTGGAGGGGAGGGTTACAGTAAACTGAAATTGGCAACAACCTCCTAGGAGACATAACATGATTTGTCCGTACAAGAATACTGTGAGAATTTGAAAATGTATTTTATTTTAAGCCTTCCGTAAGGTCAGTATCCAGTAAGAGAAAATGAAGGCATTCAGATTTCTCTCTCAATAAACAGAAGTAGGAAGACAGGATTAATCCTTGAGTGACATTTTCTTGAAATCAAACTAACTTTTCTGCTGCCACTGGTACCTCACCTAAGTCTGAAGCTGCAGTTAGAGCTGGCATGAATTACCTTCCTCCTCCCCACTGCATTTTGTATAATGTTCTGCTGGTAGGAGAGCAGCACATTCCCAGCCAAGGAAAACACACACATGTATCTGGGAAATGCATTAAGACAGTGTGGTCAGTAAGTTTCCCTGATAGTACAACATTAATTTAGAAATGCATACAGTGTTAAGTGCTCATATGTAGGTGCAGCCTTTAGGGAGAAAGTGGAGACACATTGGCAATTTAGACTGTAGTGGAGCTTCAGCATGAGTGCAGTCAGGTGGTGCATAATGAAGCAGGTGCAGGAAAAAGTGAGGAAGAGGAGTTGAATGAACAAATGGATAAATATTCTGGATCTGCAAGCTGCGGAAGTGGAAAATATATCTGACAAGTAGACGTAACCTAAGTTTCCTTGCTTCTCTTCTTCTCATTCATCTTTTCTCACACTTTTCATAGTTCATTGAGGTGACAATTGTCTTTTATGTCTCTCCTCCCTACAAAGGAATGTCCAGCCTCATGCATGCCTCATAATTGACAGAGGTTGCTCTTCATAATTAATTATAATTTAGCTCATTCTGCATATGTAAATATTTCTAATACCTCTAAAAGAAACATCAAATCATTAGTTACTAGTGCTAGTTATACATCTTCTCAGTCTACCACAAACCATATACATCCCTTCTCCAGTGTGTTTGAATCAGGTCTACAGTGAAATTTTCTTATTTCTGTAGTCCCAAATGAGTCTAGCTGAAGGGAAGCATAAAGCCTCATTTCAGGAGAAAAGAAGGTAATCATTCAATCCCTGGATGAATGATTAGGAGTGACTGATGAAGATTTATTCCACTTGAGGTTGTAAAGGGACTAGGATGTAATTATGACTGACAGGGTGAAAGGCAGAAGTAGGCACATGTAACAGGCACCTTTCCCTGCAGGCAAGCATCACTGTGTGGCAACATCTTAGATCCCCATACAAATGAATTAAGTACCAGAGCCTGAAGCTCACACCTCATGGCAACAGATGCTTCTGGTCTCCGCTCTCAAACTGGTTGTACCACACTTGAGGTTGTTTAGAGAAACATCTATAAATATATATAAATATGTAAATCCCAAATGGCTTCAGAAAGTGACATTTTGCCATACCCAAAGTTATCTCATTTTTGATCATTATTACATGGACAGAAAAGTTGATGTTGGGGGGCTGTGGGAGAGAAGACAGACAAAGAAAATAAAAAAAAAGCTACAGGAGTTTCTTTCTTCCATGTTATCCCTCACATTTAAAATCCTTGGTGGCCAACAAGTCCTTTCATGGTGGAATCAAAGCGAGAAGTTTCTGAAATAAAAAAAAAACAGGTTCTGTTGAAATACCACAACAACACAGGCTGCGACAAGACTTTTAACAAGTGAGACCTGAGAAAGAAAATCCAGACTGAGAAGAGTTCACCTGTCCAACTTTTTTTAAAGTCTCTAATACTCAACTGTTGGTTATTTCTTTAAAAAGTTAAAAAGAATGGAGAGGAAGAAGACAATAGAAAGCAAAGAGAAAATAAAGAAATGAAGGGAGAATGGAAAAGGAAGAGAAGAATTTGGATGTCAAAACTAGAGGTAGTAAGGACCTAACAATCTCAAGGTTGAAAAATAGGGAGAGTAGTGGATTTTTTTTTCTCTGTGTTTCACAAACCCTATATAATGAACAGTTGTTCAACCAGTACTAATATAGTACAGCTGCATCTCATAATTGTTTTGTTACAATATGAATTGTTTACCCTGTTACATTCACTCAGGACCCCACAGGCCTCCAAGTTACAGAGTTCATATGAGGCACCCACACAACCCAACTCAATGGCTGGTCTTTTCTGAGAGCTCCAGAAACACTGCTGTGGGCAGCTCTTATTCCCCCCAGGTAATTATGCTCTCTGCTTAAGTAATTTTTGGGCCAGGTTTTCTGGTAAGCACTGAAAAAAACAGGTGAGGATTTTTGGTCATAATTCTGTACACTTTTTCATGATTCACTTTGTTTACTATTAGTGGTTAAATGTCCAAGGACAGAGAAATTTCTTTTTATTATTATTATCATGGTATCAAAGTAGCAATTAAAAGAGGTTTGGCCATGGGATGATATTTTCTGTGGCAATATTGGAAGACTGCTTTAGTCTGCTTTGTATCTTCTAGATTAATTTCTTCATGCTAGACAGAAGACTGTCCTGCCTAACTCAGCTATGTGTTCCTGCCCCTCTGCCTTTGTCCTGCTGATCTCATGGACTCTAGATGAGCTCCATGGTGCAGACAAAAAACTTTTTGGATGTCTTCATGCATTGGATTAAGGAGTTGAACTGTTTCACTCTGACTGCAGAAGCATTGCATGCAGCAATGGGAAGTACTGGGAATAGCACTAGCCAGAGAAAGGAGGAGAGATAACACACAGCACCAAGGGATTTGTCTCATCAAAGCCACACCCCAGCAGGCTGTTGTGGAACAAGTCTTACTGCAGGGAGCTCCTGAACACTACACTTTCAAAAAGAAACATGCCAGCTTTTATTTTGCAGTGGTCTTGCAGATAAATGCTTACACTGACATCAGGTTCCGTCTTCTTGTGCTACATTTGTATTGTGCCTGGCACTTGTGAGTTTTTGTCTAAGAAGAACTTATAGGCACCAAAATAATGCTGTTTTCAATGATCCCAACATTTTTTAAACTGGGAACTCTTGCCTAATCTGCAGAACAAATACTGATGTGCTGCCAATGCTTCAATAAGGAACTCTCACAACACCTTGAGATTAACCCTGTATTTTCACAGAGGAACACCACCACTGTTCACTCTCATTGGAATGAAAACACCCTTACACAACATGAGTACAGAAGAACCATCATCTGGCTAACAGATAAAGTTGCACTTGGCCAGTAATGCTCAGTTTACTTTCCAATCTAAAGGGACTGAAAGATTGTATTAGCTCTCCATTTATTTCCTATGTTTTTAAAAGTTTTCAGTAGGAATGTCTCAATTTTCTTACCTTTTTTTTTCCCCCTGACATTTGATGAAATCAAATCCATTTCTACATTTACAGTTGTCCACTTGAGCAGTTTTACAACCACTCTGGGACATCATTCTTGGAAAGTCTGCTTTAATCAGTGACCAGAAGATAATTCCTTTGTGGTGAGGAAAGACAACCTTATCCCTCAAAACCAGGGGCACCATCAATCAGAAAAACTCACCTGCCTTTTACAGTACCTACCCATGCAGACTTCAGAGGACCTCTGGAATATCCACGTGGGGTCTGGCTAGGGATCTGTGTTACCCTGTATCCTGTGCCTGACTGTGAGCATAAGCTGATTGAAAAACCTAAGACATGCTTCTTCCTTTTCATACACTTTCCTTGTTTTAATTTTTTTAACATCCTACATATGTATGATTAAAAGCTGTAAAACCAGCCCTTCACCTGAAGGTTTGGTTGCATGGTACGTGGTCCCTGGTATCACAGCTGACTGACACCCAAACAGGGTGCCCTGCACATCCTCTCCTCATATCTGCAGCAGCACAGCCTCATCTGCTCCCTTGCACCAGCTCTGGCACTGAATTGGGCTTTACAGCTTATCTAAATTTGTCAGTCCAGCAGAAAACTACCCATTTGTTTCCTGCAGGGTTAGCGAGCTAAATTATAGCTTTCATGTCAGCCAGCAAGCGTTGGAGCTGATCTCTGGAGCAGGGCTGGCAGGAAGGGCACTGCACAATTTCGGCAGCAGCAAGCCATTGCATCAGCCTCGTCTGAGAAGGCAGATCACAGCCCTAGAGCAGCCTAAAGCCATCTGACCTCTGCTGTCTCATCCTCTCCCTCCAACCGCCTTCAGGACTTTCCCTGACTCATTTCAGTTGTTGAACTAAACCAAACCAAACACCCCCAAAACCTCCTGACTAACTTCCCTCCTCTTCCCAACACAAAACTCCACCTGAGCCACCCCCCCAGCATCGAGCCCTGCAGAGAACGTGCAAGACCTTTTCATAAACCAAACACTGCATTGCTTTGATTCTACATTGCCTGGAACTAACATAAGCCCACGCAGTAGAGCATTAGACTGCAACACCAAGTAGCAAACTGGGGTTTGATGACAGCAGGCAGTGGCTGGGTCACACATGCACAGGGCTGCAGGTCACTTCTGCTGCACTCACGACAAGCAGGAGAGGAAGACTGAAACAATTCTGGGAGTAGCACAGCAGACAGACAAAAGGGGTAAATCTTGGAATGGAAAAAACAGTTTATTGGATTCGGCAACTAGACAGAGGTTTGGACAATGAGATAGGATACTCTGCTAGCATCTCTCTTTCCTTTCTTGAAGCACACAAAGGCAAAAAAAAATAATTCACATTTATTACAATTTTCTCCTGGGAAGATAACACGTCTGTTTCTTTACCATATGAACATCAGTAACCTGAACTTAGGATACAAAGAGCCACAGACAGGTAGTACCATAAGCCAAAATCGTACCTCAAATGTGTTCATATTTACAGTATTATAAATAAGTAACTTCTAAAAGTTTGTAGCAGGCATAGGGCTAAGTATTTGGTTAGAATTTTTTTTAATTTGCTTACCAAATATTGAAGTATTTGATTATGTAAGAGGACAATACCACTACCAGATGCTATTGATGTTATTACTGATCCATCCTGACATCACCTTGTGAGATCAGTGCTGTCTGTACTAAGTGGTTCACAGAGATTCACCTCCTCTTCCTGTGTCAGTAGCCGGTACAGGATAATCAGCAAATGGCTTGCAATGTCATTTTTATAATCAGTGATCTAAAAATGCATATATCAAATCAAACTGCATTCAAGGGGTTTCAATTCCAACCCAAACTATGCAACTACTTCCTCTCTAACACAAACTTCTACTGTGAAAATTAAGAAACCTTCTAAAACATCAACTTTTGCTTTTATAGCTGTCTCAACACAGTGCACATCCACCTCTTTGACTCCTCCTCCAGCCATCAACTCATGCTCAGGTCAGGCACAGGGTGACAAAGACTCCAGCCAGACCCCACGAGGATGATATTCCAATGGTCCTGTGATGTCTGGACAGGAATAATTTAAACTTCAGAATCTGGAATCTTTTTTCTGGCTCAGTTTGCTCATGGTACAAGTTATTCTATTTCTGTGTACCTCGGTTTCCTTGTTTAAAAGCTACAGATTAATCCATTTTCTGTTTTGGAAAGAACAACTGATGGCAAATTATACAGAAGTTAAGCTAGCATTTTCCAGCTGGAACCCAAAGTCCTTACTTCTTATCACAATCCACCCAGAATATATCACACAAACACACTGGAGAAACTTTGCCAGGTTACCAGAAGGTTCAAAAATTCACAAGACAAGCAAGAACACAATAGCATACTTTCTAATACTCAGTAGCACACTTTGTCACACCAAATTAAAACATTAATGAAAAATTAACACTTCAATATATTGGAGTCTTATTGTGATGTCCTGCTGCTGATTCTCTACTAAGAAGGAGAGCTGTCACTTTTTCAGAACTTGGTGAAATACTGTTTTATTACTCATAAGTGCTCTTTATAGTTATACCTTTAATGGAGGCAGCATTGCTCTCCAGACTCAAGAGGTGAGGAAAACAGGACTGTGATGACTCTCAACAGACTGCCACAGTAACCAAATTGAGAATGAAGTCCAGCTCTTAACCATCCTACCACAGTGCTTTTACTTTACCAGGCAGGTTTTGGATTTCAGAGAAAAAAAAAAATTCATATGCCTTTAATAACCAAATACTGCCTTTTCATTTCCCCATTCTGGCTTAAAAAGAAACGAAACCCAGAACAACCCTCAACCCTAACTGAATTTAAAAAACAAGAAATTTGGGGGATACTAAATGCACCATAAAAGATATAACAAACAATGTTCTTTCGATGTTTTGCCAAATATAAAAAAAGAATGAAACACATGCACAAGTGTGACTGATTACCTGTTTATGCAGAATTTAAGATGGTCAGTCATGACTGATGAAATGCAGCATCCAGACAGCCAGTGCTAGTGCAGGTCATGATGTTCTCTTCTATCATCCCTTGAAACAGCTCCATGTCTGGAAATGTTTCAGAAGAATCTTGATTCTCTTGGTGATTTTTATTTAGATCTTCAAGACTAATAATAATATCATCTAAAAAAAAAAAAAAAAAAAAAAAAAAAAAAAAAAAAAAAAAAAAAAGGAATTACAAACTGCAGCCAAAGACACCTAAAATTTATTTCATCAAAATACTCTTGATTTCTCCTCTTAAATATGAAATCTTTCATTTTGTCTCTCATGGGGGATGGGGCAGGGGGAGCAGGGAGTAAGAGAGAGCACCCATGTGTTTGTGTGTCTATTCTCAATCTTATGTTTCCTCTCCAAAAGCATCCTTTTTTTCTAAAATAGAGAAACTCCTCTCCTATTTTGGACAGTAAATTCTAGTAGCTTTCAGGGAGCTACTATTATGTATTTTTAAAGTCATATTATGAAACTTATGAAATTGTACTACACCAACGTGGAAGCCACGGAAAAAGACAACCAGCAACCTTATTCCATAACCTTCACACTGCAGGAATTCTTGCATGCAGATGTCCAGAGCTTCACTTGAACCTAACACCTCTTACAGCTCAAGTGTGTGACCTCAGGTGCTGTTGAGAGCAGCTGAACACGAGCCAGCAGTGTGCCCAGGTGGCCAAGAAGGCCAATGGCATCCTGGCCTAGATCAGCAATAGTGTGGCCAGCAGGACCAGGGCAGTGATCGACCCCCTCTGCTCAGCACTGGTGAGGCTGCAGCTCAAAGTTTTGGGCTTCTCACTACAAGAAGAATGTTGAGGTGCTGGAGCATGTCAAGAAGATAATCAAACTTTCAGGGAAGTAAAGTCTAAAGTAAGACTTCCTCATGCTAAACATTCTTCTGATCTGGAATGGGTAAACTACTGGATTCATTCCATGTGGAAAACTTTAAAAGGCAAGGAATTTCAGCACTTGCCTCAGGAAACAAAGTGACAATTCACAGCAACCATAGCTATGTCATATCATGTACACAATCAACGGTGGCACAAATTCATTTATCACATCCTGGTGCTTTTACACAAACAGGAGTGTTGTCAATTATTTGTGATGAAAAACCCTTCAACAAGAAAAAATTTACACAGTTTTTGTATCACAGAATACACTTACCAGTCAAGCTGTTTCCATTCTGCAATCCATTTGCTTTCTGTTTTTCCTAAAATAGATAACAATAGTCCAGCAAAAAGAAGAAAGTATGTGACAAGAGATTTTGTTATTTTGGGAAACAAAGTCCATACTATTTTTTTATAATCATTAGTTCATTGCATTTACAGGATTTTCCTAAGTGCCACTATCAGAAAAATAAAAGCAAACCTTTACAAAGCAACAGCCATGGTGAGGGGAAAAAAGGTAATTTGCAGGTTAACATTTTCTAATTAGGCAAAGAGAATTAATTTGCTGACAGCCACTCAGAATGACTTCTTTGCTGCAGCTCTAGTAGAGGTAGTGGAGGATGAGATATGCTCAGACGATGAGAGAAAACATCTGGATGATGGCAGGTTGTACTTAATGAACATAGCCCAGGTCAAGGCACAGGTATCAAAGATATTTTTTCTCCCATTTTTAACTACTTTGTATACACTTCTGAAGCTGATCTTTCAAAACCTGAATCCTACAACAGCCTTGAGCTGATTTTAGAAATATTCAGAAGAGTATATAAATCATCCATTGTGGATATAAAGCAGATTTACTGGCAAAGAGCTGAAGAATTCCTCTTTGCACCTGAAATATTGGAAAGTCTTCCAAAATCCCCTAAAATTCGTACCTCCACAGAGGTCTTCCACAGTAAATAGATCATCTTTGAAACTTTCCAGTCAAGAGGAACTATAAAATCATCTGGCAACAAGGATTCTGCAGAAGAAAATATTTTTTGCAGTTGAGTGTTCAGATCTCTTCACAGCCAAAATATATACTGAATTACAACTTTTGCACACATTATATATATGTATACTTAAAGGAAAAAAAAAAAAAAAAGGCGCAGATACTTAAACAAGCGAGCAGCAAAGTCAGAATTTAGGATATCTAGAATCTAAGGCCAGTGCAGAGGAGAGGGAGAAGGGGGAAGGAGATCTGGGTTTGGTTCCTTTATTTACACAAACCCTTTCCTACCATACTTTCATTTCCCCTACATACTCCTCCAAAACTAGAAAACAAGAAAACCATAAAGCTTTCAGATGATAAACAAAATGCAACTCAAGTAACAACCTTTAGATTTTAAAATGTTTAATTTTAGGAATCTGTGCAATATCAATAAAGAAATTACTTTCTAAAATGTTTGAATTCTAACACTGTTAAAGAAGCTGAAAAAGAGAGTCTTTGTAGGAAAACTGCCTAAAATATATTCTACACTTACATGAGAATCACACAAGAAAGTCAATCAACTAAATGTTCATTTATAAATAACCAAAGACATTTATTTACCGAAATTTTTTCCCAACAAAATAACTTCACTAAAAATTGACTGCAATTGCCAGTGTTGTAGAACACTTCAGTTCAAATGTGTGCATGAATAAATAGTAACCTGTCAATATATAATATATACCACTGAAAAGCACAGTAATTTTTTGAAATTGAAGGACAATGATAAACAAAGGAGAACATGGCCAGCCTTCTGCAGACAGCACAGACATTTCTGATGGAAAAACCCCAGCAGAGAGCAGTCACAAGCTGGCAGGGCTTCAGAGAGATATCGGGGTGGGTTGGTATTTCTTAAAGGTTATTTCCAAAGAAGCTCATCTAAATGCCGGATTTTCACCTGTTACTGACTCAGAGAAGAATAACATTTGGTTCACTAACCTACTGAGTGTTTCTGAATGTCTGGTTTTGTCTTTTTTTTACCCTGGAAGATCCCTGTTTTCAAGTCACGGCCAACTCTCTCTAAGATTATGAAATTTAATCACAGATATAAAGATTCACTGAATTTGGAGAAGAAAAATATTTTATACATAACAGTCAAGGACATCAGCAGTACTTCCTTGCTCTGTTTCAGCTCCGTATGTCAAGTTCTTTGGTGTGTGGTGCCAGATTTAGGTAAATTAGCACTGCAGGTCCTTTGGGGACCAAGCCAAGTAATACTTCCCATGGTTTGCATCACTCTTCTGGTAGGTGGCATTGCCATCAGCGTTTACAATAAAAACAAAGAATGCTTTGTTGGTTTGGCCAGACAAACAGACAGAAGCTGCTCCCCAGCTGTCACATTAAAACACATGCTTAACTTTAAATTCTACTGAAACAAACAGATGCAAAAGTCTATATGCTGAAAAGCTGGTCTGTGTTTTTTAATCCTACTTGTTGGTTACATGACAGTTACAGTTTCTTCACTAAATTTGGACCCAAAAATTTTAAGGATCCAAATGCACAGGGAACACGGCTCTTTCAGCAGGTGCATACACAGCACTGTGTCCCAGGGTGATTCCCAATAAAATGTCTGGTTTTGTTGCTGTTTACAGCTCTATGGGGTTACCTTAGCCTGCAGTACATTTGGAAATGATGGTTGCCACACACAACTCCTTTGAGGACTGTCTGTCTTTTACCTGCCAACTTAAAATGACTAAACTGAAAATATAAAAAATGACACCTGGAGCCCTGGAAGGTGAGTATATAACACTGTGACACTTCTTAATCACGCACAATTAAAAAGAAGGTATTCACTATCAGAAAATAAAACTTGTAAGTTTGGTATTCAATTTCAAATTAAGTCTGATTTTGGGAAATAGGAAACCAGAATGGTTTTATATTTGGAAATATAAATGGAATTTAAAAGCAGACATACAACCTTTATAAAAGAGTACACATTTTGTAACACATTTTCATTTAGTTCTGCAATCAAGACAGTAATAAAGTCTTACTCACTAGGATGTATTCCAATGGCAATGAGAGCCTCATGCTTTGGATTTAAAGTTAGTAAATTTTTGTTACTAACAAGACAGCAATGAGAGCTTCATGCTTTGGATTAAAGTTAGTAAATTTTTATTACTAACAAAACTTAAAATAAGAGGCCAAATCAAGAGTCACTTTTGGCAGAAACTATAACCAAAGCAGCAGTGATTAATTTCAATAGGATTAATATTTAAATAATATCTGCAATAAAAATTATTATTTGATCATAGTCTTTTTGTTTGTTTTTTGGTTTGGAGAGAGTGGTGTGGTTTCTGTTTGTGGGTTTGAGGGGTTGTGGGATTTCTGGGGTTTGAGCTGCTGTTTTTCTTTTATTTTACGTAGGAGTAGTAAGAAGAGTATTATACCCAGTGGAAGACCTGGAGAACCAAAGAGCTGCACAAGTTGAAAAGCAAATCCTAATGATAAGGGAAGTCCCAGAAAACTACATTTCACATCCACATCTTGATTATCTTCAAGTTGTGAGGCCTCTGCTGGTTCAGGGTCATCTGCTTCATTCACCTTTTCACTGCAGCTTGCCAATATACTGGAATCTTCTGGATATTCAGAAACAACTTTAACAGAAGACAAAATATCTGGTTGGCAGTGTGTAACCTCTGAAGAAACTTGTTCACTCTCGTCCTCTGTTTTATCAGCTACCTCTTGCAGCTTTAGAGTTGTAGCTTGCTCCTCCTCTGTTCTGGATTCTACACAAACACTGCAGGAATATTTTGATATAGGAGAATATTGTCCTGAATGAATGGGAGAAATACCATGTAACAGAGCATCAGCATCGGGTAAGGAAGAGGTTGCCTCGGTGTCATTGTAAGGTGCAAAATATTCCTGCAATGCAGAGTCCTGTGCTTGTGCCTCTCCATGGTCCTTGCTTAGAAAGTTCTCTTGCCTCACGTCCAAAACACTTTCTTGGGGAAAGTCTTCTTTTACTGGGACTTCCTTCCCTCCTTCTGTATGATCAGCAATCTCTCTTGGTAGGTTAAACTTTGGTGCTAAGTTGACAATTCTCCTGCACCTTTTCCTTCTCAATATAATTGGTGTAGCATCATTTATTGAAACGTTTACTTCACTTGAACACTGCACAAAGGTGGCCCTGGATTCCACAAAGGAATCAAAGTGCACTTCACCAGCTGGAGATGCAGACAGACCATTGCTTGTTATGTTGCCAAACTCCTCAGTTTCTGTTTCATAATGTTTCTCCTTTACCAATCCTTCCTTTGACTGATCACAGTTTAGCTGTGCTGAACTGTTTGTCTGAGTGGGTTTGGGGTTCCTCATTTTTTGGGGTCTTTGTTCACCTACAAATTTATCCTCGGACCAAGGAGAGAGAGAAACTTGTGTATCAGCGCCCAGCTGCAATTCCTCAGTAGATAAATTAACTGAAAAAGAGGCCCAGGCATTAGGGCTAGTCTTTTCTTCTTTTAATGCACCTTTGCCCTCTGTGTTATTATCAGGCACATCATTTAAATTGTAACACTGAGAGATTTCTTTTTCTTCACTGTTTAAACTTATCAGCTTAGCTTCCAAGTCAGGTTCACATGTAATTTGACATGATTCCAGTTTGTCTTCTGTGCTTAACAGTGATGTTTCATAATCTTCAGAGATGCCTTCTGTTTCATAGATGGAATTTTCATCATTGCTTATTTTTAGGAAACTGCTTCTGCAAAGATTTTCTTTTTGCCTCTGATTTGCTTCCTCATCATCGGCACTTTTGGTTAGGTTTTCAGTAGAAAAAGGTGTTACATCTATTAGGAGTGAACTGTCACTTTCTATAGGCAATTCATTTTTCAGTGCACTGTTTGACATTGTTGAGACCTCAGGCACAGCAACCAGAAACCTTTCTCTTGAAACCGCTGCAGCTTCTCTTAGGCTTTCATCATCACTGTTAGGCTGCTCTTCACAAACTGGATCCTCTGGACCTTTGCTGAATGTACACAGTGGTTTGCTGTTTTCTTCTTCCACATCCTCCTCCTCACTTTCTGATCTGTCCTGGTCACCTGGAGCTGGATAACAATCTACTCCATGTAACATTTTCTTCATAATTTCTGTGTGATTACTTTCCATTGTTTTGCTTCTTTTTCGCTTTTTCTTCTGCTTTGCTTTTGTCGACGGGTACCCAGTGATTGTCCTTAAATTTGTCTCCCTATGTGAAAACAAAACAAACAAAATAAATGTAAACCAACAAATTTGAGTAATAATGTATTCATGGTGATCGACTTGAAGATTAGGTACTTTATGTTAATATGATGATCAAACACAGACTATCTGGGTTTTTTTAATAGGTAAAATCTCAGATAAAACCTCCTATTCATGAAACAAATATACACCTTACAATTCAGGACAACTCCTGAACATTTCAATCCATTTAAATAAACACAGTTGATATCCCATTTACTCAGCTTTACAAAAAGTGTCATAACTCACTGCAAGACCAAACATGTTTCTGGATGTCTTTCTAGCATGATGTTAGAATAACTGATTCTAAAGAACTGGCGCTAGTCTGAAATTTCATTAAATGTCATGCAGAGCAAAAAGGTACAAAGTGAAGGACACAGTAAGAAAATGTCATCCATTAAGATCATATACTCAAGTTCAAAACATGCTAACCAAAAATCCAAATAATGTAAAGGTACAGTGACTACAGCAACTCTGATATTTACTATTCCATATGTTACCTGCTTAGTCATATGTATTTGGAAAAAAATACTTCATATTTTATTATCAATAAAATAATACACTATGGAAAAAATAACAAGGCTTTAGGAAAAATAACATGTTTATTTACAATTAAATTTGTAGCTCTTTTCAGAACATCTTTTTCTTTTGCCTGCATTTCTCATCAAATCTAACAGACAGCAGCCCTAACAGTGACTTCTCTGAAATACTGATGTTGACCTGCTAACCCTGAAATGAACACTCAGAAGAAAAACCTACTCCAGGCATCTAACATCTCCTATTGCAACTCTTCAGAAAGAGATTAGATTTTCAGAGCTAAGTTTCACTGATAAATCTACCAAAGACCTGCTCCTTTTCTGTAGCCCTTTGTTTGGGATGGTACTTCACACAATACACTAAAGCAAAGCAGTAGCTAAAAGACTTATAGTGTAAAATTAGGCGCTTTTTTCGGTGAATTCATATATAAAATTACTTGCTGTAAGTGCTGTAGTCTGAAACTCTAAAGATAAATAAAACAAAAAAAAAAAAAAAAAGGGGGAGACTGTCCATGTGGAGGGAAGGAGGTCATGAGGAGGCAACCTGGGAACTAAAGGTCAGTTACCTCACCTTTACCCTTTACTCATTCTTAAATTTATTTATTGTTAGGTTTCTTATAAGTTCTTTTTAATTTGAACTCTACAAAGCAAACCCTCCTAATTCTCTGAATGCAAAGGACATCACCAGCCTTCTCAGCATAACAAAGTCACTTGACTGCAACAGGATTCAAGTCTAGGTGTCTTGATATTGCTGCAGAGGGCACTACAGATCTCCATACCGATCTTGTTGGAAAGCACACAATTTATTGCCTTATAATGGTATCCAGATAAGGCATCCTTCTAAGAAGTGGGATTTCCTTCAAATGTTGGCATTTAAGTCCACATGGTGCTTTCCTCTCAGCAATGAAAACGGACTTCCCCTTTTCCAAACCAGTGTATTTTCGATATGGTGCCCCACAGTTTAAGTGTGGGTATCAATACCACAGCCCCTTGAAGTTAGCCAAGACAAATTCCTTGTTGAATTCTGCTCACAACACACTCCCTATTCAGCAACATGCCCCATATCTCCCCAGAAAGAAAGACACAGAATGCCAGAGTTTTAGGATTGAACGGATCTTATTTGTCTATTGAAATAAATGACATCAAAGTGAAGCATCTGCAATGGTAGTTGGAGAGATTCTTACATGTACCCCAGACTTGTAGAAATCATATACTAATCACATATTATGCCCTAAACCTTGACATTACCTTCCTTCTTTAGTGAAGACAATTCCTGACTTGAAAGTGGTTTTAGACAAGGAAATTCATTGAAGTTTTCAGAATCAAAAAACCCATTACCAGTGAAATAGAAAATAATGTCTGAATTTCAACTGTTTTTAATGGAGCGGGGAATAAAACATCAGATCTGTGCACCAATTCCAAGAAGAATTTATTGTTGTATCTAAAATTCCTTTGCTGCCAGAACAACTGCAGAAATGACAACCAAACTACCAATGTTAGTTTAGCACTGGCACAGGAAAGGAACGAACTTCTCCAGTCTTGGCAGTCTTGGATGTGAATTTGCGCTGTTGCTGATAGGAGCGAACTTCTCTAATATTGATTCAAGCATGTTTTTGGTGTCTAACCCCTGACATATCTGACAACACTTTCAGGACAACGCTGACAAAAACTTTCTTATGCTGGGATGTCGCAACAAAAGGTATTGCAGAAATGCGGGAAAGTCTTAAAGGTCATTACACTTATTTACTCTCCTCACTACTAATTCTGAATAGGAAGGGAAAACTACACTGGACAGAACTCACTTTAGAATGCAAAACCAGCAAAAACATATCCACCAAAGTATGGGAGAAGAATCCCCAAGATGATCCAGAGAAACTAACAGCTATTATTGCATTGAAATTATTGTATGTCAAAATATCAAGTGCAAATGTTGATCCAGGATGTTGATTTAGCATACCTGGATATGGCCCTGATTAGTGATATTCAACAGTTCATCAATAATACAACTATGTAATTTCTATGCTTTGGAAACATGGAGGTTTTATAGCAGTTCAGGAAGATTAGTTTTTCTAAAGATTTGAATTTCCTAAAAAAAGGACTAAAGCAAAAAGGAAAGTGATGAACTGTTACATATAGAATAATAAAATGTGTTACTCTTCATGCTTCCAGGTAACCTTTGTTTCCCAACTGATTCCAAGAAAATACTGCTCCAAAGAAATACTCTAAGGCACCATGATAGCATAGCTAAAATTTCCTGCACCATGATAGCATAGCTAAAATTTCCTGCTTGGGATGAAACCCAGTATCATGTTAAGGTTTCTGCGTTAAGTGAAGCAAATTGTCTACTAGTTTTCTTTACATTTGTCTTAATTTCTCCTCTTTTAGTACACCTACATACCTTTTGAGAGTTTGCCTTATTGTAAAACCATATGGCACACAAACACTGAGAAAATTGAAGAACCAGCATGCACACAGACATTACTTCTTTACAGAGGCATTTGCTAGTGAGTTGTTTTCAAACCCTTAAAATACAGGCAAAAAGAAAAGGGAAAAAAGTGCTGTTTCAGATGATATTTAAATTTTACTACATTTACAAAACTGTCTAGTAATAAAAAGACCTGGGAAAAAAAAAAAGTAATAGTATCTTTGTTGAAATAGGAATTCCCATTCTGTAACAACACTTGGAAATTTCTTAGTCTACTGTTTAGACAATATTAAAAGCTTTTTGCCATATCTGATACATGTGACTTCTAGGTTGTAACCTACTGCTCAAAATAGCACTGACCATCTTGACTGAGAGTCAGAACACGCAAAGTAATGAATCTAAAGCAGTCACATTATGCTGAAAAATGGCAAGACCAGAAGAGTTACTTATTTGCAGTTGTACAGCTTATTCAGCTTATTCATCTAAGCTGATGTCTGTTTGATATGATGTCTGTTTGAAATGACTGCAGTAACTGCTGTAATGAAATACAGGATAAAATCATAAAATCATTTAGGTTGGAAAGAACCTCTAAGATCATTGAGTCCAGCCATTAACCCAGCACTTCCAAGTCCACCACTAAACCATGTCCTCCCAAGTGCCATATCTGCATGTCTTTTAAATACCTCCAGGGACGGTGACTCCATCACTTCCCTGGGCAGCCTGTTCCAAAGCCTGAACACTCTTTCAGTAATGTTTCCTAATAACCAAGCAATATAAGAGAAGTGATAAATTTAAAATCCATTTCTAGATGACACTTAGCAATAAGGCACATGCTCTTTCAAAAACGTATGTTATCATTAATCTACAAAGTCTCTGGAGTGGGTTTTCAACATAAAAATTACAGTAGAGCAGCTTACATAAAATGGCATTTACACTTCATCTTCTCCACCTGGTAAGTCCAAGTACATTGCTGAATTCCTTGTGATCTAATTTTACTTCAGCAACAACTAGAAATTGAAGTTATAATTTTGGAATAACAAAAGAAAGCCAAGGTACCAGCCTTTTTGTTACCTCTCTTACCTTTAATGCCAAAATGAATGCTAAAAGATCTAATTCCTCAAAACCAAAACCAAATGGAATATTGCTATCAGGTGATCAAGTAAGTAGGAAAAAAACACATAACTTGACAGCATTACTGGGCTTCCTAAAAGCTGAAATTCCACTGGACAACTAAGCATTCAGCTTAGCACTTTGTTGCTGAAGAAACACTCTTTGTCATCCTTTCCTACTCTGTTCCAGATATTGCTCTTGCACTTCCACTACTTTTTTTTGCTAGCTCTACCACTCTCCTTGTGGGTGGATGCACCTGCCCAACCCTGCGTCAAAAGAAAACAAGTGCATACTTTGTTGTTGTGCTCATTTAACTTGGTAAAGCAAGAAGTAAAAGAAGTGTCTAAATAAGACAAAAAGAAGTGGCTGGTGAGAGCAAGTGACTACTTCCAGCAGCAACATGTCATGTTGCCCCACAGCAATGAAATTCAGCACAAATTATTTGTAAGAAATATTTACACTTTACAGTGTTGCAAATTAATTCCCTCTGCCCCAAATCAGTAAAGATCCAACTAACTGGATTTGATCCAAGGTATCTCAGTACTTATTATTCTTTTGTCTTTCAACAGCATTACCACTGGTGGTGAGACTTAAATACCTTCATAATATATGCTCATCTATCACAGCGCTCAAAGAGCTGCTCCAGTCTTTATATTTTATACAGGATTGATGTATATACAGTTCTGTGCAATGTATAATCAGCTATCAGACTGCTGCCCTGTTATAGTCCAGACACAAGAGATATTGATAAAGAAAGTACACAGAGAATAACATACAATTGGTTTGATTAAAGACTGCCTTTAGAAGCTGTTAATCAAGTACATGGCAAAGTGCAAGCACTTCGCTTTTCAAAATAAAAAAGCAAACAATCCACCCACCCAAATCCCCACATTCCTG